GGGGGAAGGGGGCGGGGGAACGTATAGGCGCGAGAGGAAAAGAAAAGTACTGGGTAGCCCATGGCCCATCGGTGCTGTCCTACCTTTCTGGTTTATACTGTACGGATGAAAGCGTGCGGGGGCGGCTTGCCCGCGTCGTCGCTCACCAAGGAGACGCCTTACTTACGGTATGCAACCCGTTGGCGCGCTTGCCCCCGGTACAGTATAACCAGAAGAAGAAAGAACGGCGCCGCCCGTGGCACACCCTGTATTTGTTGGCATACTGATCAAACTCAGATGAATAGGGTAAAGTCGATTGATGACATCGAAAAGCCGACCATTATATGCAGCATTTGGCTGTCACCATCAGCACGTACGTAGAACGCACGATGACGTCTTTAAGGGGTGGTTTAGGGGTTGTTTGGCGTTTTTACACTTAGTGGGCGTGTCCGATCGTGTGACAGCCAACTTCTTGTTGAAAGTATCGGATTTCCGATAGCAGCTATCGATTCACGCGTATCGAACAAACAGACTTTGATCATCGCCACAAGGTCTTCTCTCGGTGCGGGGGGCGCGGCGGGCTCGGGCTCCCACGCTCCGACATTCAGGGCGCGGGCCGCCAAAACATGGCGCCTGGCACCACTTACTTCACAAAGGTATACACTTCGGGACACGCAGACCCGATTTCTCTGCAGGAAATACATTATTTGTGTATGAGAGTCGGTGGAGGAGCGCGGCGCTCGACGAGCGAAAATATTGGGTTCGTGTTTTACGGCTCGACAACTTTTGAGGGGATTTAATGGCGGTTGTAATAAGGCCCCAAGAGCTCAGGCCCCGGCGGCAGCCCGGCGCACGGCGCGGCGCACGGCCGGGACGCTCCTCACACCCCAATGCAGCCTCATTCGCGACGGCAGAGCACCAACCGGTTAACCGGTTTTCTGGGCGCGGCGCGGGGGGAGAGGTGAGGGAGGCAGGGGGTGAAGGTTTCGCGTGCGAATACGAAGGGGCCAAGAGGCCGGGAAAGAAGTGAGAGGACCCGTCGCGGGCTGCGTGCGAGAGCGCCGGCCGACCCGCACTCAGCTCCCGAGTCAGAGCCAACGCCAAGTTCCCTCGCAAAGATTTATTTGAAACGCGTATCAACAAAACAATCCATTGCTCAGAGTCATCCTCGTCATCCTCGTCCATATGCTTCGTCCCACTGGCCAGCTCGCGGTCATCTTGCCCTTGCCCCCCCCCCCCCCTTATCGCGCTCGCCTTTATCTATTTTAGCGACTTTGGCTTGGCTCTATCGGCAGAGAAGAATCTGCTTCCCAGTTCATACCCGCTTTCATGGTGGATGGTCAGTAAATAGGCATGCACCGCGTGTCGCTGTACTCTGTACTGTACGACTCACTGCGGCCTCGACTGGCGCCGCGTGTGGCGCCGCGTTGCGCCGGCGGCACACATGCGCTGCTGGTCATGCCGGTGGGCCTCCGGCCGGGGCGCCAACGCACACGCCCCCCGTCCCTGCTGGCGCCGGCGCACGCCTCCTCCAGTGACCTGGTCGACCCCTGGCGGACAGCCCGCGAGTCACGCCGCACTGCATGCTGCACGTGCAAGGTGCAAGTACCCCACGCTGCTCCCCGCAGTTGCTATGGAGTCGAACAATAGGGTCAGCGTGGCCAGGCCAGTACCCGCTGCACGGCCGGCGCCACGAGCGCCACCACCACCCCCGCCAGCTCCAGCCAGGACGACGCCCCCGCCCCGCCTCACTCCACCCCCAGGATGCCCGGGCATGACGGTGGCCGCCCACAGTGAGCCATGGTACCGGCGGCTCGGCCCGCGCAGGAGGACACCGTTCGCGGCTCCAAAGTTCTATAGTCCCCCTTATTGCGTCACTGTCTCTAACTCTCTCACGTCGAGAGCTAAACCCTCCGCAGTCCACAGACAACAAGGAGAAGGTCCGGAGGCAGCGCGCCGTCGCCAAGAAGGCCGTTCGCCCGGACGAGGAGTGGCCCGTCGCCAAACACCTGCAGCAGCATCCCGGTGCGGAGGCATCTCGCGACCTCGTGAGTGACTGCAGGCCGCGGCAAACCCGGGAGGACATTATTGCAATAATTAGGGCAGGAATTAGGGCCGATCCAGAGAGAACGCCCCGTCATTCAACGTTACGAACCCGCCAAGTTCAAGTTCAGCCCATGCAAGCTCTCATAGCGCCTAGTGGGTAGGCAATATCTTCTCTGCAGTGCTTCTGCGCACTGCGGCTCTGCCTACCCTGAGTCTCACAGGCGCCCAGCTCCCTATATTTAATTTGTCGAATAAATCTGAGAAAAACAGGCGTGCTTTCTGGACCCCTCCCCCCCCCCAAATCCCATAACTGCGGTCGTCAACATCTGCAAGACAACGCCGCCACAGGCCACAGGGTGCTGCTCGCTTGCAGGAGGATGAGCTGGCCAGCATGGAGACGGAGTTGGGCGAGATGCAGCTGGAGCTCGCGCAGGTCCAGAAGGAGCGCGAGATCCTCGAAGGGCAGCGACGCGTCCTCAAAGCCGTCGCCCCCACCGCCACCCGGCCGGACTCCAACCCAACCTGCACGCCAGCGGTGAGGGGCGGGGGAGAAGGGGTGGGAGAGAGCGGAGGTGGTAAAGCGGAAGGGAGAAGTGGAGCGTGGCTCCCGCAACGGAACTATGGGGCTGCACGGGTGCAGCTGTACTGCAGCCTGGTGCAGCTGTACTGCAGCCTGGTGCAGCTGTACTGCAGCCTGGTGCAGCTGTACTGCAGCCTGGTGCAGCTGT